CAATATTAGAAAACTGCAGTGATGCTATCTTTTTCCTCATTGATAGTCCTTTACTTTGTCCTAATTGTAGTAAGAATTTCATTGAATTGGAAGAAGAAATTCTGGGAAAAATCCCAAACGAGACCCATAAAAATTCATTTAAATGCAACAGAAATACAACCTGTCAGAAATTACTCCATAGTCTTAAACAATGGCAGGTTTCCTCTCTCCTTTAAACCCTACTATTCTGAAATTTAAATATAACAATGAGAAAATTAATTTTTATTCATTTCTAAGAGGAGTCCTACATGGAACTCCAGATGCTGAAAATGTGCCTGGCTGTATTAACAATTCATTCTTCAAATCTCAATAAAATCTATCCAATATTAATTTGTACAGAGACTTGTGAAATGCTCACACATATAAATTCAGGAAATAAGGAAAGTTACACGTGGACTCTGTTTCACTGACTTCACAGCACAGCTACAGATAAAACATTCTTTTCATTTTTGAAATGTTCCTTCCTGAAGGACAAACATTTCTCCCCATTTCCTTCATCAATTCTGTAAGCTCTGCAAGTGTTTTTTTTTCTTTTATTTTAGCACAGGAACCACCACGGCTTTTTCCCCTCATGACTTTTACATCCACAAAATACTTGACTTGAGAACTGTCAAGTGTAATGTAAAAATGTATAATATGGAAATGTGTGTAATATGGAAATGTGTGTAATATGGAAATGTGTGTAATACGGAAATGTAGAATATAAAAAAATATTTGAAGGAGTTTCATTGACAAATCATCCATTGCTATGGGAGAAAGCAAAGAGGAATGTCTTAGTGCAGTCAGGGTAAATCTGAAGGGCCTGGAATCAAAAAAATCAAAATTATCTCAACTGAAAAGCATCAGTGAATGAGGGAATCTTGCAGGTTGCTGTCATAAGTGATCACAACAATTTCAACTAAAAATGCAGGCCCAGCAGTGAGCAGAGGAGAACAATGAGAGCATTGTTGAGGCTCCACGATGACAGATTTGCAAACTGAAACACTCAAAAATAACTTACACAACCCCAACGCTCAGTAAATGTCACAGCAAAAGGGTCTCATGTATTCCTGAGTTGGTAAAAAGGGAAAACATCTGCAAGGGCAGGGGAATATCCTGAAAGCAGAAATTCTAATAATGCCAACAAGGCCATCCCTGATCCCTTTGTGACATGTGGTGAAACTGAGAAACATCCAACAGGAACTCAGAGGGTAAAAAGGGGTAAAAAGGAGAAGCTCCAGCTTCCATAAAATGGAGGAGAAAGCTGGGAAAGAACTGGAAAATCAGCAGAGAACATTGAGCTGATTTTGGTACATTTCATAGTGGGGTTAGTTCCACGTGAGCATGACTGTAGTAGGGGAAGGAGAGATCTCTTTAAGGAGAACAAGGCAGATTTCCAGCACGTGGGTGTTAAATTTTAACTCTGCAAGAAATGTGAGCTAGGGGTAAAACCAGAGGGTTTCTACATCTTTATATCCAGGTTGCTTGGTGGCAATTATCTTTTGTGACATTAAACTCTCTGGGGTCTCCTCATTCATTCCACGATGCACAAGAAGGGGAGCAATAAAGGAAAATGTTCATTGCCCTCATTAAAATAGAAACACTTGCAGTTCTGCAATAAAATACTTTAAAATGCTTTTTTAAATTTTAAAATACATATTTCAACGTTCATGATTTAAGGCTTTAACCAGTTTTCTAACCAGATCTGTTTTCTAAGGAATTGCAACACTTCTCACCACAACATAATGAGCAAACAGCCTCATTTTACTCCCAACAGGGTAAACAGGTTAATTAGCCCAGTCAGTAATTAGCTAAATGTTCTCTCCTGTAGCAGTTGTTACAAATAAACATCTGTGGGAAATGGATTTGTAGAGTTTCAGGGCTTGATAGAAGGTGTACACAATATATGTTTGTATGTAAACTTTGAGATAAGAAATGCTGATTTAGAAATAAATAGGACAGATATTGGTGAGAGAGAAATGGAGTTAGAAAAAAGTTTCAAAGGAAGGCTTTGTAAATAAGATTAGATACTTTAGAGAAATAGAACTATGAAAGATGCATTGTAGTGAGATTTACAAGGGGTAGTTTTAGATTATTAGTTTTAAGGCATCTATAATATGGTGTGGTAAAAAGCAGATACCCAAGAAATGCTTGTAGTGTTTTGTAATTAAGAAATAGTTAACTTCTGATTGTGATAGTGTGAATTATAACATCTGTATTGTCTCACCCTTCTCATGAGACTGAAAATGGAATAAAGGATTTTAAAATGCCTCTCAGTTGCCCCATCTCTGGGTCAGAAAAAAGGATTGCCTGACAAAGATCCATCCAAAACACTGTCTGA